GCAACTTCATAACAGTGATTGTAATTGAACAGCCAATCAGACCAGTGGAAGATGCTGGCCTGATGCACGCTCTGCCTTCTGCCATGACAGGGTCTCTGGAGCGATGTGTTATCTGTGTATCAGCTGTCTGTCATCCCCTGTGTGTCCAGCCCATCATCCTGAAACTGTGCGAGAATAATTCTTAGCTTAGCGACCTCGGCTGGTTTCGTGTTTCTTACATGTTCAATGCAGAAGGAGAAACGCCTCAGTGCTTCAGAAAGACTCGCTCAATTATTAAACTCAGGCTCTTCTCGGCTCTTCTCGGACGCTAAACAGAGGCCGACTGCTCTGAGACAGGCACGGTTCAGTTGTTTTCTGTGAACTCCGAGTGTCTTCCCAGTACAGGTCAGGGTCTCACACGGTCCAGCTGAAGTGGACTCTGGTGCTCGGGTGGAAGCGGACCCGGGTTCGTTGGACACATACGCACTTGGGAGCAAGGTCATGGAGAGACTTGTAAGAAGAGAAATGTGAGAGGACGTCTGCAAGAAAAATGCAGCCCGCGGAAGTTCACCTTGGAAGACCAAACTGTGCCGCCCAGCTCCTCCAGGCCTGCCTCGCATCCTCGGCTCATCGCACAGCAAGGCCCATCTCCAGTCAACCAATGCCCGCCAGGCCAGCATCTTAAAAGGCGTAGACTCCCACTTCCCGGCCTTCTCGAGCCTCGCATCCACAGCCTCCCCTCCTCCTTCTTCTTCCATTCTTCGAGCGTGCGCCTTGTCCGCTGCCAATTGCCACCACCAGTGCCTAGGCCCCGGGGGATCTCATGCGCACACCAACAGGAGCCGCGCTTAACAGCATCGCACCGGGGCCTAGGGTGCCAAACATTTTTTAATAAAATACTTCAAATTGCATTTTGTTTCATGAGTCTCTCCAGAGTGAAATGTTGTTTCAGAGCTATAAGGACTTGCTGCTGTTTCCTGTCCATTCAAATGAGGTCAGACTTGCTTTGCTTCCATGCCTCAATTCAGCAGAAAGCCCAGTAAATGGATATAATTACCCTGTGTAATGGGACAGTTTTGGAATCCCCAAATATGGACTTCCGGGCCCACCCACTGATTGTTCCCATCCACTCAGTTGTGCCCTATGGGAATGGGAAAATTTTGATATTTTCTGGACTGATTACTTTCCCCTGTTTTCAATGCAAATGTTGTTTTATTTTTTATCTAAGTTAGTCATCTTTAATTGTATAGCCCCTTTCACTACCTAGAACCACAAAGCGCTTCTAATTGTTGTGGGCATTCATCGCCTCACTTCACACAGATGGGAGCGAGGTCGCATTACAGGAGGTGCATGCCAAACCGATTGTAGATGTTTTTTAGCGGTAAGGAATACCGGAGTACCCAGAGGAAACTTAGGCAGACACAGGGAGAACATGCAAACTGCACACAGAAAGGCCCTGTCTGGAGATGGAATCGGATCCAGGACCTTCTTGCTCTGAAGCACAAATGCTATCTCCACAAATGCAAAGCTAGTGAACTGGAATTTATGGAGATTCGTAATAAATGGTTTGAGGGAAGTATCAGAGGGAGCGGTGATAGAACTTACAGGCAAAGGAAAATACATTTATCCACCAGGAGCGAGTAGAGAAGCCAAATAATGTTGGGTGACAAAAGTAAGAGTCACTCACAGTATAAATAAACGACTACCTTGTAATAAACGAAACATGATTCCCATTCAATGAACAGGCCCATAAAAATACATAAAAACTAAATATGGTAATTCCTTTGCTGCCCAGACCTGTATCCCACCCTCATGAAACACCTACCCCCTTCTTCCAGAAAGTACCCCATGACATCCCCCTCATGGGTTTTTTCAATCCCACCAACACCAAAGTTGCCCTAAAGTAACTTCAGTGGTTCTACATCCACTAAAAACTGACGCATTCTACTGCTCTAAGATAAATCTCTGCAGCCTTTTTGACCAATGAGGTCATATGGGATCATTTCCAAAGGCACCAAACTCCATCTCCCCTCTGGGTGAAAACTTTGAAGAAGTAGTTTGCAGCTACAATGAGTTTTTATATCGAGACGGTGTTCTGTGTTACATATTACAGCTACATTTGTTTTGCACTGCTCCTCCATGTCTGACCAGTCGTTTGTAAACGATCCTATTGGGGAAGGATGTGTTATTGCTGCATTGTAGGGAATCACATAATGGGTAATAATGGATAGAATAATATTCATAAATCTCTCACTAATTTTGTTACACTACACAGTATCTAGATGGGGCTTCAAGTGTTATTTCAACATAGTGACATTACTTACTATTTTTTGATTGTTTTAATGAAACACTGCTCCCACTCATGTCTGTTGTTGTTGTGTCCTTGGGCAAGACACTTAACCCCATGTTGCCCAAAGCCCTCGCTGGAATACCAAGGCTGGACCTCCATCTTCCTGTTGACCCACCACCTGCTGGAGGATCAGCGAGGGACCGGTGCTATGAGCATGGGGTGGCATCTCTGATTTTCACCCCTCCAACCCAGAAATGGATTAATAAAGGGTAGAAAATTAATGAATGAAGATAAATTCTCATTTAGCTGTTATTTTATTTCACTCTCATAACCTGATTGAATAAGTCTTTGTGCAAGGCATTGACCCATATGTAACCCGCATTTCCTAACATATTTTTATATTTATTATGGTTGCCCAACATTAATAATATTTTAAAGAATATTGCGGGCCAATAAATGCATACAGCGTCTACATTTACTCCTCTATGTACATTCCACATGTACATCATGTACCTTTAGTAGAATAGTTTATTTATACAAATGCTTATTTTGTGTTTTTGTTTGTTTTGTCCTTTCCAGGTCAGGCTTTTGTTTTTACGTTGGATTATTGCAACGGCTCTTCGACCGACTGCAATCACCTTCTGATGGCGAGCTATTGTTCTACCTGAGTGGTAGGATCTTGAATACTTGACTTTTCTGAATCCCAAAAAGGAACTCTAAAGACTCTAAAAGGAGCTTAAAGTACCGTTATGAGCCCACCATAACTGAATTGAACTGACCTACCAAAGGACACTTTTTGTTTTTGTATTTTTCTTTTTGTATTAAAAATATTTCCTTATATCTGCCCTATTTATAGCAACACATGTCAATAATGTAATATCGTTATCGCATACCTCACCTATATTTATAGAATCTGTGACTACAATCAATATATATATATATACTTTTCTAACAACGCAATTGATTTTGTCTGTGTCTCATTCACACACCTTGGCTCCTTGGCCGAATCTACTTCTGGTCAACCTAATTGTTCACTCTGCTACTAGCCTAGCGTTACACATAATAGATTACAACTTTTGGATCATCTTGTAAAACCATACAAGAAGACGCCATACAAAACTATTGGATAATTCTCTTTCCGGGTACACCTCCTGGTTAGGAGTGGGATTGCAAGTATGTCAGCGCACACGCTCATGGACCTTTTGGAGCCAGGACCCGCCCCCACTGGTGAAAACGTTTATACATGTATAAGCGGTTCTCCATTATGCTCACAAACTGGTGGAGAGTTGATCCATGCGTATTAGTAATGGTTTATGCATTTTGAACATATGTTATTCAGTGTATTTCTTTGCAAATGATTGGATTGTTAGGAATGTCAACTTGTTTTTGCTGAAGTCAAAGCAGCTGAACTTTTCTCCGTGTTTTAAATAAACGGAGTTAACATTAAACAAATCAATACATTGTAACATTAACATGAAGAAGTGGCTTGAGTTTCTTGGCTGAGTTTCGAGGGAAACTTATTTGGACCACTTTTATCCTCCATCTTGTCTTCTGTCCCCAATGGCCATAGATGTGGTCATGTACTGCGCGGTACATCCAGAGCTTTGACTGCTCCCTCTACAGCCCAACAGTCTGATACAGCAACCACATAATAATATTAATAATAATAATAATACAATTATTATTATTAATAATAATAATAATGATAATGATAATGCATTGGTTTTAGATGCTTCACATCATTATTCATTCACTCCATACACGGTGGTGATAAACTACTACTGTAGCCACAGCTGCCCTGGGGCACACTGACAGAAGCGAGGCAACCAGTCTGTGCCATCGGCCCCTCTGACCACAGCCAACCATTCACACACACACACTAGTCTCTTTCTAGGCAATGGGGGTGAAGTGTCTTGCCTTAGGACACAACAGCAGTTTGGCACTTTATAGCCGCAGCCGCCCCACTGTGGCCCCTGGTGTTCCCAGAGGTTAAGTGTCTTGCCAAGGACACAACGACAGCAAACATCAGAGGGAGTCGGTGGAGAAAGTCTTGTGGTGGGCTCGAACCCACATCCTTCAGGCTCAAAGGCCAAAGCTCTACCACTGATGTATGTCAATATCACACTCCATCCTTCCTTCATTGAGAAAAAGAGCTGAGAGACTGGAACTCCTCCTGGAGGAAGGACCTCAGCGTCTGAAGAGGACCAGGACCCTCACACTCGTAACATTTAGTTTAGATCAACATCAGATCATCAATCTGGAGTAAATTGACTATCCTAAATCCATCTATAGGATACAGGGCATTAACACCCCCCAGGAAGGGTGTGTAAACTAAGAGCTGGGGTCCATAACTTTCAAAAGACAATCTAATAATGGTGTAATAGAGTCTATATAACTGCAGTTGCTGCTCTTAATACATTTTGGTTCTATAACTAGTTTTCACATGTATGACTTTTTGGCCTCTGTCACACATCTGCTTTTTCCCACAAAGAAGCTGAAAAGAGAGGACGACCCTCAAAGCGTCAAATGGTGACTCAGGGCCATGCAAAAGATTACATGTTTTGTAAAAAGACAGCCTTTTTCTGATTTGTTCGCAACTTTTATAAGATTTTCTGTTGTATATATATTTGTGTGTGTGTGTGTGTGTGTGTGTGTGTGTGTGTGTGTGTGTGTGTGTGTGTGTGTATATGGTGTGTGTGTGTGTGTGTGTACGAATGCACAGCAGCAGTACCTTGATCTTCTGCACGGTGGCGCTCTCCTCTGCACGGCACCACACTGTGATGTTGTTCTTGTTGTATTTGGGGATCCAGCCCTCAGGGTTTAGACACTGCTCTTTGAACGACGAGAAGTCAACATCGTCCGGGATTTGAACCGGCATCCTTCTGCCCCAAACTGCTGCCAACCTCACCCAATAAGCACCAAGTGTGGAGTGTGTAGCAAAAATATAAAATCCTTCACAGACAAGCTTCTCGTTGAAGTTCAAGAGGCAAAGAAAGTTACACTCTGAATAAATGAGAGAATTTACAAAAAACTCTTCAAAGTGACTGAAAAGTAGTGGTGTGTCCTGAGCGAGAGAGAGGTGCTGTGTCCCAGGACAGAGAGGCTGATGTGTGAGCGGGACAGGTGCAGAGAGCGTGCTATTGTGTGGAGCAGAGACAGCACAGAGGACAGAGGTCTCACTCTCTCAGCAGCAGAGCACAGGGCTGCTGCGAGCCAATTGAAAGAACTCAATTCAATGTAATGTATTTTTGTATAGCCCTAAATCACTGCAGTAGTTATCTTAGAGGACTTTGCATGTCGTCGATTCGCCAACACAGATCAGAGAATCAAACAGTTCAAACACAGGAAGTTCAATAATAAAAAAACACAACCATTTAGAACCATTGGTCTATAAATGTCCTTAGACCTTCCTGCATCGGCAAGGAAAACTATAAAAACCTTGTGGGAGAAAATGACAACCAGTTTCAGGTTCTTCAGTCTTTGAATAAAAATGTACTCTGGTAAAAGTAAAATTATTAAAGCAAATCTTTTTCCTTCAATTAAAAGTAAAGAAGTTTAAGCTTTGACGTGTACTTAAGTCAGAAAACGAAAAATGCATGTTTGTAAATTAGTTAACAGACAATGCTGACAAAGCTATTATCTGAAATAAGAAGCATAGCTATCCACGATGAAGTAGTTCACTTAGAAGCATAGCTAATCTTAATGAAGGATGGTTAAACACAATGAATTAATTTATATTGGCCACACTTACTCTTTTGTATGTTGTGAGGTCTTCTGCAAAGTAATTAACCCTTTTTAAAATGTAAAGAGAATTCAAAAAAAGTTTTCAAAAATGTACGTTGCCTGAAAAAACTGTACATTAAAGTGCTAATACTAGGGAAAGAGTACAGTACTGCTAACTATTACTTAAAAATACTTTGTTATGTGCCACCACTAAAAAACGCATTTATAGCAGCAGCGTATGGCACATTGTTCACCTTTCCAAACAGACCCGCAGTTGTTTTTGATAATTATTATTTTTAAAAGCTGGAGTTCTTTTCCTTACTGATGCAGGAGGGTCACTCGACATTGAACAACATTTATGGACATTGTAAACATTTATGAACATTGGTCATCTGCCCCTTTTGGACCAATCGCTCTGTGTGTTTTGTGTGTGTCTGAACTGTTTGATTCTCTAATCTGTGTTTGTGAATCAACAGCTTTGTAAAGTCCTATCAGATAACTACTGTTGTATTTCAGGGCTATACAAGAATGCATTGAATTGAATTGAATTGAGGACGTCCTGTTTCCTCGTGGGCCTGAAGGCAGCACGGACACCTGAGCAGGAAGGGGGCGGGGCTTGTGTCATGTTACAGCTTCAGTTACAGTGAGACAATAACGTTTCCACTGACGCCACATGAGGACCGTCCCGGGACAATGGGCCGCTCCACTCTACTGCGGACTCCAGAGCAGCCGGCCTATATTCTCTCAGCCGCCTGGATTAAATCAACATTCAGACCTTTGAAGCCAAACAGCGTTTAAACGAATGTCCGGCCTCTTAGTGAAGCTCCCACTCTGCCTCTGAGCCACTCCAATTATAAGTGGTAACAATCGCTCTCATTCAATGGTCTTTTAATCTAGCAAAATATATTAAGAAAAGCACAGGCTGTGTGATATGAAGGGGACCAGGAGACAATCACAGTTCAAATCTCCGTGTCTGGAATCTCTGGAATAGCACGGCTTACCAAAGTGCTGTACAGACAAGTGAAATAACAGCAACAATAATAAGAGTCAGCCTTTAGGCCTGAAGGTCGTGGGTTCGAGCCTACCACAAGACCAACTTCACGACTCCCACTGATGACTGCTGTCGTTGTGTCCTTGGGAAAGACACTTAACCCCACTTTGCTGGAAACCCCCGCTGAAAGATCAAGGCCCCTGTGGACTCACCACCTGCAGGAGGATCAGTGAGGGGCTGGTGCTCTGTGGACTGGGTGCAGCTCTGTCTGCCACCCCCCCGACCCAGAAATGGATTAAGGGGAAGAAAATGGATGGAATAAAAAGAGTGAAAATACAGTGATATATAGACACGTGAAACCGAAACCCTGGTATTAAATCTAAAGAGAATAAGTGTGTCTTAAGCAAGGATTTAAAGTTTTCAGGTGATTGTGTTGTTCTGATGTACAAAGGTAAAGAGTTCCAAAGCTCTGGACCTGGCCCTGGAAAAAAGCCCTGTCTCCTTTAAGTATTTACATCCAAATCAGGTGAAAGGGGCAGGAAATATTGATATATTTTAGAGTGAGGATCTGAGTGACGTGTGTGGTGCAGTTGGAGAGTGTCTGTGGGAGTAAAGCTGTCGTCTGATTAATTGTCTGATGGATTGTCTGATGAACAAAATGACCAACTGTTGCTTTGAATATTTCCTTGTCACTGCTGATGAGCCCAGAATCACTTTTGTAATTATTAGTTTTTCATTTCTTCCATAAGTGTCTCCAACTCAGTGTTAAAAATGACTAATAGTTTACTCTGGGTGTAAATACCAATAACATACCACACTAACTGAAATAAACAAATGGCAGAAATTGTAGAGAAAAACACCAAAGCACTACTGCCATTTGACATTGCATATTGACAATACTGCTGTCGGGAACAAAATACATTCTTTTGTTATTTGCAGGTATTTATTCCATCAGATTAGCCACAAATGACACCTCCACCTCATTGATGCTGGTTGCATTCAGGTGATCCTCCAAATGCCTGGTAAAACTTTAAAAACTCGGCAAAGGAAACACTTCTTTTTGAAAATGATAATCTTATTAAATGTAGACATTTCATTTTAACACTTGTATGAACCAACCTTCTAATCTGGTACTCTGCTCCATAAACTTTCACCCAGGAAGAAGTGGGGAACCTGGACACATTCAGAGTTTGACAAGACCCTGACAAGCCCTCCAAACTTTCAACTCAAACAAGGAGAAGACTGATCAGAGATGCAGCCAAGAGGCCCATGATCACTCTGGATGAACTGCAGATAACTACAGCTGAGGTGGGGATGGTGTGTTCAGGGTGATGAGCTGTGTTGCTTTTACGCCAAACATATCGTTTTGCATTGTGGCCAAAAGGTTTGATTTTGGTTTCATCTGACCAGAGCACCTTCTTCCACATGTTTGGTGTGTCTCCCAGGTGGCTTGTGGCAAACTTTAAGAGACTTTTATTGGATATCTTTGAGAAATGGCCACTCTTCCATAAAGGCCAGATTTGTGCAGTGCACGACTGATTGTTGTCCTATGGACAGACTCTCCCACCTCAGCTGTAGTTATCTGCAGTTCATCCAGAGCGATCATGGGCCTCTTGACTGCATCTCTGATCATTCTTCTCCTTGTTTGAGATGAAAGTTTGGAGGGACGGCCGGGTCTTGGTAGATTTGCAGTGGTCTGATACTCCTTCCATTTCAATATAATTGCTTGCACAGTGCTCCTTGAGATGTTTAAAGCTTGGGAAATCTTCTTGTATCCAAATCCGGCTTTAAACTTCTCCACAACAGTATCTCGGACCTGCCTGGTGTGTTCCTTTGTCTTCATGGTTCTCTCTGCGCTTTAAACAGAACCCTGAGACTATCAAAGAGCAGTTCACCTTGGAGAGACCCACAAGGGAAAATGCAGTTAGAAGTTTAGGATTAAGCATGTTTGGCGCCCTAGGCCCGGGAGAGATGCTGTTGAGCGCGGCGCTTGCTCGCGTGCATAATCCCCCCCGGGGCCTAGGCACTGGTGACGGCAGAGGCAGTAGGCAAGCACGCTTCGATGAGAGAAGGAGGAGGTGGGGCGGCGGAGGCTTGCAGACTTCAGAAGGCCGGGAAGTGGGCGTCTCCGGCTTTTAACTTGCTGTCCTGGTGGTTATTGGTTGATTAGATGTGGGCGTTGCTGGTATGATGAGTCGAGGATGAGCAGGCTTGTAGATCTGGGCAAGCAGCAGCCGGGTCTACCACAGTGAACTTTCGCGAAAGCTCCATTTCACCTTGGAGAGACCCACGAGGGAAAATGCAGTTAGAAGTTTAGGATTAAGCATGTTTGGCGCCCTAGGCCCGGGAGAGATGCTGTTGAGCGCGGCGCTTGCTCGCGCGCATAATCCCCCAAAAAGCGGGCCTGCGATGGGATAGCAGGACGTACTGCGCAGGCCTGAGAGCATGAGTGCGAGGCTTCTCGCACGGTCGCTCAGCCAGGCTGCGTCCGCTGGGCATCTTTGAGCGCTGAGAACGTGAGCGCTCGCATCACGTTCAGCCAGACGCTGTAGCAGGGTTATCTTTGAGCGCTGAGAACGTGAGCGCTCGCATCACGTTCAGCCAGACGCTGTAGCAGGGTTATCTTTGAGCGCTGAGAACGTGAGCGCTCGCATCATGTTCCCATAGCGCCATCCAGTTCCGTCAGCTGCAGAGCCACTAGGTTTCTTTGTGTATTTCACAAAAGCATCTCTCAATTGCTTCCACCTTTTCTTGCATTCCTCAGCTGTTTAAGAAATATAGAATAATAAATACACACACATATGCAGTATTAAATTTTAACAGCATAGTTATAGTTACACCACAAAAATATAGTAATTTCTATTGTTATTACATATACACTGGAATTTCAAACTCAAGCTCAAGCTCAAATTATTTATTCTTTTTCAGATTTCTTGCAACTGGAGAAAGTTTTACTAGTTTGGCTTTCCAGTACAGACTAGGAGTTTCTACAGTCGCCACCATAGTCCACAATACATTGGAGGCCCTAGAAAGCCACATGCTCGGGACACAAATTCCTGTTCCAACAGAAGATATCTGGAGTACGGTTGCAGCTGGATTTTGGGAAAAGTGGAACTATCCAAACTGCATTGGAGCCATTGATGGAAAGCACATCGAGATACGTG